GTTAAATTATGTCTTAGGAGATGGGAGTGAATTTTTTCAAATGCCTTTTTGGTATTTTTAAATGATGATATGACTTTTCCTAAGGTATTGATGGGGTGGATTCTATTTTTAGATTCTCTCATATTGAGCAATCAATCCTCAGCTTCCTGTCATCAATCCAAATTGGCACATTATTCTTTTATCACATTGCCAAGTCCTTGTCACTAGCTGAGCATTTTATCTCTGTCTCCAGTGGGAACTGAGATCGGATGATAGTTTGGGAATGAATTGTGAGGTGGTTTTGGTTGTTTTCTGTATGTGAATCAGCTTCTCTAACATGCATTTATTTTTCTATTCAAAAATAGGAAGAATTTATCCATAACTCTTGGGCTAAGGCTTGAGAGAGGGGAGGATATTATTTTAAGTTATTTTAAGGTCAACCGAGGTTTTAGTCAAGTTTTTTACTTTTTTGTCCATTTTAGTATATTTTTAAACAAAACTGTCCTGGACATGTTCGGTTTTATGATCAGTTATGCGTAGTATGTTCTTAAGATTACTTTTAAAACTCTCAATCATTGTTTGACACAAAACAGGCACCTAATACAGATTAAGGTCAATAAAATATCTGCTGTTATAGACCAGGTCTCATTTTAAGTTTGATCCTGTTTTCCTACATTTTAAAGCCTTATATTTGACAGAGTATGCCTGCTTTAATTAGCTGTTTCTAATAACCAGCCTCTGACACATTTGTTTAAATTTCATGATGTTTCCTAATTTATTTTTCATTCCTCATTATTATTTCTTTCCAACATTTCCTTGTTTTTGTTGTTGTTTGCTGTTCTTTTTCATGTGTGAAATGGAATGCTTAAATTTTTTTGATAACAAAGTTTGAAATTTTAAAAATTTACCTCTGAATGATATTTTCATGGCAACCATACATCTTATATGTAATATTTTCACTCTCACGGTTCTCTGAATAGTCTATTATGTTCTCATTTATTTCTCATTTCATTGTGTTACGATAACATTGAGGGACCAGTGAAAGTTTGAAATTTTAAAAATTTACCTCTGAATGATATTTTCATGGCAACCATACATCTTATGTGTAATATTTTCACTCTCATGGTTCTCTGAATAGTCTACTATGTTCTCATTTATTTCTCATTTCATTGTGTTACGATAACATTGAGGGACCAGTGAGGTTTCTACTCTATTTTTTTAATGTATTGAGATATCTTCATTATATAACATCTTATTTTTTTTAATAACTATCTCATGGGTGCTTGAGAAGATGTGGCTTCTGCTTGCAGAATATCAGATTTGAAAATAGCTATCCTTGCTTTGTTATAAAATATATGCTATTAAAAGACAACTTTTTTAAAAGGTGAATTGTGTTTCTTCTACAAATGTTAAATGGACATGACAAATATTTTCTTTAACTCATTAATTAATGTGAGAATCAGTAAGATGTTACAATGCACTCAAAGGAGAATTCAGAGAACACAGGCATATATATATATATATGTAGCAACTAGGAAGTCTGAGATGAATTTGTGAATAAATGCAAAACTGGTCACTATCCACACGGCATCAATCAGTTGCATTCTGCTAGACAAAATTCATATGTGTTTCTGTGGATGAGAATTGTTTAAATTATTATAAATTTTCTGTATCTTAAGACTTTTAACAGTAGCTCTAAAACAAGGAAAGACTTAGATAATACAGGAAAGTATACTAGATGAGAAACCCAGGAATCCTTTTTGCCCATTTCAAAGACTTTCACAATTTTTCCTGACAATGCCTTCTGCGTCCCTGTTTACTGTTGTCAGATTTATCTGTCCTGTGGGACCATGGTGAGCTAATTTCTTACAGTACGTTGTTTTGGCATTTAATAAGCTTTGTATTTCTAACAGCTTTACTTTTTATACTTTTAGCTATGTTGTTTCATGTGTGTACTTTTGTTATAATATTTTTACTATATAAATCATACATATTTGATATGCAAAATTTAGGAAGTAGAGCAACGTAGATGGGGCCGGCCCGGTAGCGCACTGGATAGTGTGCCGCTTGGGAAGCGCGGCAGCGCTCCCGCCTGAGGGTTCGGATCCCACATACAGACCGGCCGCTCACTG